AGTAGTAGCAGTAATAGTAGTAGTAGTAGTAGTAGTAGTAGTGGTGGTAGTAGTAGTAGTAGTAGCAGTGGTAGTCGTAGTGGTATTAATAGTAGTAGTAGTAGTAGTAGTAGTAGTAGTAGGAGTAGCAGTAGTGGCAGTAGTAGTCGTCGTCGTCGTCGTAGTAGTAGTCGTCGTCGTAGTAGCAGTAGGAGCAGTAGCAGTAGCAGCAGCAGCAGCAGCAGTAGTAGTAGTAGTAGTAGTAGTAGTAGTGGTATAGTGTAGTAGTAGCAGAAGTAAGAAGCAGCGAGGTGCAGTAAGTAGCATGTGTAGCTAGCTAGGGTCTATGGCAAAGGACACAGGTGTAATGTGTGGTCAATATGGTTCCCCCGAAACAGCAGGCTGTGAGTTCGACTTGTTCAGCCAGTCAGAAACAGCTTCGCATTTCTGTTTCAGTTTTGTGCACTGAATGATGTATTGTTTTCTCTGCGAAAGGTTGAACCGGCGTAAAGAATTTTCTCGGGCTTCTGTCGGAGGTTATTGAAAAGGCGCAGGCCCTGAAGACAGGCCAGACTCCACGACGTCTTTGCACACGACAAAGCTGACCTGGACTTCCAGCCAGGCTGAACGATGATTGTTTTCCGGTACTTCTATGGGCATTTGCGGAGTTTCGGGTTGTACTTGTTTGGTTTTACGATGGCTGCACGATTTTATGGTGAGTTCCCCTAGTCCTGTTGCAGCCGGTCTTCGTGGTCTTTTCTACCGACCATCTCGCTGGGTGCTTCGGATGTCTGATGAGGAGATGCTTCGTTCGGCATCATCGCCCAAACTCTCGGCGAGCACCTCACGCTTGGCGGAGGTCGGAATCTGCGAAGTTTGGCAAGCTATTCATGGATGTGGCAGCTGCACGGGGCTGCTTCTTTGTGCGGCACGAACCACGCAATCCGTGCGATTAGGCTGAGCGGAACAGAAAGATTGACATAGGTTCCATTTCGGAAACTGCAGCCTTCAGAGCCTCAGCGGCAAGTCCGTCACGAAACGGCAGAGCCTTTGGGATGCAAGATTCCAGACAAGTAAAGTTTATGGATTATCGATGCTACTCCTACTTCTGCGGTTCTTTTCTGCTGCTAGCAAGTATGACTACCTATCCCGACCTTCCTTTTCTGGAGCTATTTCTGTTGGGTTTGGACTTTTGCTGCTGCTACTGCTGCTGCTGCTGCTGCGACTACTACTACTACTACTACTACTACTACTACTACTAATACTACAACTACTGCTACTACTACTACCAC